GCTTTCAACACAAACTGAGCCAGCTTGAAAACATTACATTTAAACAAATACTAAACAAATACTAAATCCTCATCAGACACAGTAAACCAAGAGACATTAGACACAACTGACAGATCAGGTCATGATACAAAGGACACTAGAACAGAAAATGCATTTCATTTTCAACGCTCTTTAAGTCACACAGACACACGTGCTCCTCCTCTGGGACTGAGTGGAAGTGTCCTGTCTTCAGAGGCAGAGTCCCACACCTCAGCTGGGCACATACTGACCTCTGACCTCTGACCTCTGCTCAGGTTCAGAGTGACATATGACTCAGGTCCAGAACAGTCTGTAATTCAAATATATGTTCTTAATTTTGGTTTACATAAAATTTCATTGTGCCACTTCTGTTTATACTTGTCAAAATAAATGTTTCTAGTTTGTCTGACACTACAGATGAACTTTTTTCTATAAATAAACTGAAGATCTGCATCCGATTCATGTCACAGACTCCAGTTAAACACATGTTTGGTTCATCTTGTGTCTGACATATTAACCAGCCTATTTCATAACCGAACCAAATCACCAATGTGTCTCACTTCACATGGTTCCAGCCCACATCTCCAAACAGAGCAAGTTTAAGTGCCTTAAGTGGATAATAATTTGATTAATAAATTTGTCCAAAGTTGTTATAAAAATGTCATTCATTTAACAGATAAAAATAAATAGATCCCATATTATACTACTCTCTGGTTTTTATGTTATAATGTTGTTATGTCCTTCAAATGTTTGAGTAAACCTTTATTATTAGTCTGTCTACATCTCCAAACCTCATAATGGTCTGTTCCACCTTGTGATGTCATGTAGTGGTAGTGAACAGCTCCTTTTTAACTTTAGTTCAGTAGAGATTGTCAATTCCTGAAATCATCCAAATGATTCTGAAGTGAAGGTGTATGGAGTTTAAAAACACAGTGGAGCATTTTTATTACCATATGACATCATAAGGTGGAACAGACCATTTTCCTTTTGAGAGACGAACTCAGCCTAAATGTGCAGGATTTGTGTGTTAAAATGTGTGAATGAAACAAAACTCAACACGACTCCAGGTCTGTTTATGATGACCGTCACAGGTTCATCTGAAATAAATGTAAAAAAATGATGGTTCAGTCGAAAAACTTTACTTAAGTGGGTTTTTATTCACACCACAGCTCCAAGTGCAGAGGAGAATATTTACAGTGAAAAAAAATGAGGTGGTAGAGTCCAACAAAAAAAGTAGTATTTACAACAATATTTACAATAGTCACTTACAGAAGGCAGCACCCACGTAGTCAGGCCAAAAACAGACTCCCAAATGACTGGAGCTCCCTCCTTTTATACCCCTTAGCCCCTCCCCCCGGGCGAACCAATTAACAAAAAATGGGGTTTTAAAGGAATTAACATACACATACTGTACTGATGAACACAAATCAACTTGGAAATAAACATAATGAAAATAACTTAAAGAACCAATCATAAGGTTAACATAAATTCCATTAAATAACTTAAAAACCCAAAAGTTATTTAATGTTATTTAATATCATAAAATAGAGTAATATGAGCCCATTAACCAAATAATCTCGACATCTTGAATCATTCCACTAAAAACACTTGAAGAACATTCTTAGGTTGCGTTCAGACTGCAGCCTGAAGTGATCCAAATCCGATTTTTTGGCCCCTATGTGACCTGTATCTGATCTTTTAATGACACAGATCCGATTTTTTCAAATGTGACCCAGGACACTTGGATATGTGCTCCTAAAACCGATACATATCTGATCTTTTGACATGTGACTTCAGTGTGAACGGCCAAAGTGCATTCATCCACCTACACGTTATCAACAAGCCACAAACGTCACTATTCTGCACTGAAGTAGGCGAAAATTGTTAATGAGCTCTGTGTCACTGAAGTGAAGCACATCTCCACTCACCACTCTTGGCTCCGTCTCCACATCCACACGTTCCTTTCAACGGACGTCGCTGCTGCTGTCCCACAAAACACCACGGCCAAAAACCTCGTCCTTCTCCTTCTCAATCTCCTCCTTAAAACAAGTAAGTTGTTCATGTTCTGGCTCCGGTACGAGAGGAACTTTAAAATCTCCAGGTGCTCAATGCTGCGTCCATGTTTGGACAACTTCTGTAAACACAGAGACGCTCGCTGCGGTTGACGTCATCGTGTCTCCAGTGTCACATGTGGGACACTTTTGAGCTGTTTACTGTTCACACTGGAGTCACATACAAGTCACATTTAAATGGAAATGTGAACGACCTCGCAAAAACATCAGATTTCACAAAAAAATCTGAATTGAGCGTTAAGCCCTGCAGTCTGAACGTAGCCTTAGATTCTCTGTATAACGGCGTGTGTTGTGTTCCGTTCGCTGTCATCACTCTTCTCTATCATAATATTGTGGGTTTGAGTGGCGCATGGATCATTTGGGCTGTAGGTCTCCGCATCTGAATAAAACGCTCATGTTCATTACTCAGAGGCAGGGGGCGCCGCACTGAATTAATTGTGTGTGAATGCTACAGAGCCAGATGCTTTTATTAGTCTCATTTGTTTGTTAATCTGAGTGGGATACTCATGAGGACGGATGGGGGTTTAACAAACACATATGATGCTTTTTGTTGCTTTTATTTTCTTTTAAATGTGCTTTTGGTCGCCTCAAAATCAGCTTTTATGTTAAAATATTGCCCCCACCTCTGTTTGTAATAAGTCTTTCTAGGCTTTGGAGCTCCCTCTGCTGTCAGCAACAAGAATGAACAATGACAAAGTAAACTAAGTAATTTGACCACACAAAATTATTCTGTAGATAGTTTATGGGCTTAAACTATGTAGGAGTAGTTTGGATTTTTACCTGTGATGCAACAATCTGGGCAAAATTCATAAGGAGCATTTGTGAGTCCCCAGAGAAGAAAAGTAATGGATAAATCTGAATGTGTGAAGTCTGAATGAAGCAAAAATACAACTCCTGTTTTTTTTTTGTTTTTTTTTTTAAATTGAAGAAGCAATACTCTTACACTGCACTGCAAAAACGTAATTACAGCCTTGGTCATGGGTTAAATTCAGACGACTAATGGATGCGAGTGGTTTTGACTGAGATAGATTTAAAGGAATTGCATGTGACCTGTGCTTTTACTACTTTAAAAGGGAATTAGAATCAGAACTGAACCTGTGTCACCAGAGCTTTAACCTGCAGACAGAGTGTGTCTCATTCTCACTATATTTATATGACAAACCAGCTTTAAACAAGAAGATGATTAACTGATCAGTGCTTTATTACGAAAATGAAAGTGATTAGAGGAAGTCTAGTGTGTGGATATATACATAAATTGCACAGGATTAGATGGTGTGTGGATTATAAAACGTGTTATTGTGTCTGAATTTTGTTTGCTCTGAAGTTAAATGGCAACTCAAACATGCATGAATGAAGCTCAACTATTTTAGTAAAAGGTCAAATTTTTTCCACCTTCAAGGCACTCAAAGCATTTCACAACAAAGAACCACTCACCCGTCAGTGTGTACACAGACATTAAAGGTGAGGTGGGTTAACTGCCTTGCTTATGGACACAAATACAGCAATTATCTGTGGGAGCAGGAATATGACCCACAGATCTATGTGTCGTCCAACCAGTGATGTTTTCTTTATTATGTCAAGACAGATTCGATCCACCAACCTTCTGATCAGTGGACAAATGCTCTTACCAACTGAGCTACTGTTGCCCACCGATGATTTCAAACAGTTTTTAATGCAGTTGAAAGTTTAAAAAAATGACTTATTAAAGACACTGAAAAAACACTGATGCAACATATTTTTTGAAACTGTATGTAGCCTGCAAAAATCTATTATTCAAAGTGTTTCCTCAATCTCAGAACCTCCAGAATCTTCTCCCTGAGCTGCACAGGCTGCACTAGCACTGATTCATGGTTTGTTTTGGATGGGAGACCACTGGAGCTGTTTTCAGGCCGGGCAGAACAGTGCTGGTTCCCGGACCATTTCAACTGAGAACCAAAGTGCTCACCGGTGAATGACCCAAGTTCAAACCATTTAAGTGAATCTCTGATGCATCATCAACAAATGGTGTAGATTCACCAGCTAATAAAAACAAGGCCATATGAAAACAGATGTCACAGCGAGAAAATAACAATCATGGATCGCTTCATCAATACCAGCGCGCGAGCATTTGTTCTCATACAAATGATTATTTATCTGCACTGAGCTCTGCTACAACATCTGCTGTGAAGAAGGCGACGTCCAATCCAAAGATGGAACCTCACCAGGCGATCACAGATACAGCAAATATTTGGTTTCCTCCTCTGACCACTGCACAATCTTCTGTCACTTGATTCTCCTCCATGTTCCAGACACGTTTTCTTTGGTTGTTTATTTCACCGTGTGTGACCTGGATGAACCTGCTGACGTCTACTGCGTTGCCATGATTCACTTAGAAACCAACTTTTCGGTTCCTGAACGCTCTTGAGTTTCGGAGTGAACACATCAGTTGGTTCGAGATTAGATGCAGGAACTGACACCAGCACAGTTCTCTGTCGGCCTGAAAACACTCAGAGTTGCCAGGTGTCTGTAGTGTGGTGTCAGTGTCTCACTTGTTCATGTGCATACTGTTAGTCCGATGAGGTTCATTTGGTCTTCTGATGATTTATTTTAAAAAAGCTCCCTCTTCCAGGGACTTTTTTTACTCTCACACACCTGGGATACTGTCCTGAGGAAGTCGGACTGCAGGTGGCGCTGTCGTCCTGCCTCCACCGGTTTGAAAACAGCTCCAAAACCTGTTTAAATCAGCTGAGCAGACACGTCACAGCAACATCACATGACCACTCTGAAGAAGACACTAGTGAGCAGTCGAAACTGTCAGGTATGAAAACAAACTCTTGGTCTGAGAAAAGAACCTAATAACATATGTGCATACTGTTGTTGTGTCCTTAGGCAAGACACTTAAGACACTCAAATAAAAAGAACAAAACCAAACCATTTTATAAGGCCTTGCTGTTTATTCATTTTTTTCCTACAACAGCAAATTACAGAAGCAGTATTGAAAATAAAAGTCTTATTTTCATCTTGTAAAAAACAAAACAAAATCTGCACAAAATCGGATGACAGTACAAAACGAAGCGTTAATATGTCCATGGTGGGGGAGGGGGCAAAGCATCTCATTTTTTACATTTCAGAATTATTTCACATAATCTGAAACTCTATATCAAAATGAAACAGGTGTTTTTTGTCATTTTTTTCCACATTTATTTAATTTTTTTTTTGCAAATGAACGCTAAAAACACATAAATCTTTTTAAATATATTTATCAGTGCAACATCTTGAGTCCAGCGCTACAGTATCCGTTTTCTCTAGCTAGCTTAGTCCTTTAGCTACTGTCCGAAAGAGCTTGAAGCAGTAAAGACGAGAAGGGTGGGCAAAAAAAACTGAAAAACAAGAAAAAAAAATTACGAAAAAGAAGTTGAAGTCTTCACCACAACACGACGTAAAGCACACACACGTAGAAAAACACCCTTGGACCAATATCGTGATTGTTAGCGGCTCCGTGGGCTAGCGTAGCGTCCCAGAGCCGGCCCCTTTTACTAAAAGTTCACACAAAGTTCCGATGCTCCGGTACGGCCCTGTCACGGGATTGTCCCCAGAGAAGAGTTCACAAAGAGGGGCGTGGGGGCGGAGCTAAAAAGTGGTACAAAAGCTCTACAAAGCCAGTCTTTCGTTGGTGACGTCGGTGAGCGGTGAAAAGTCCTTTGGTGAAGCCGCACAGAGGAGACGTTTTTTTCGGACCTGATTGAGGTAATGTCCCCGCCCTCCCCGCACCGAGCCCGGGTCAGTTTCACAAAACACACATCGGATTAAATCAGAACAGTTTGAGCAAGAATGAATATTTGTCGTTACGTTACCTAGCAAGCTAGCGAGCTAGTTTGAGCGACACTTGGCAGCCTTGTGTTTTGGAGTCAGTTTCAGATCGCTAGCTTGTAGGCCAGGGGTGGGCAAACTTTTTGACTCATGGGCCACAAAGGATTCTAAAATTTGATGGGAGGGCCGGACCAGAAGCAGATGAATGGAGTTTTTTGGTAATCCACCTCATAAGAGAAAAAAATTACATGGGATATGTAGAAAAAATATCCCATGTTATTGAAATATCCCATAATTGAAAATCAGTACAAAGCATCACAACAAATATCTGTCTTTCAAGTCCCATGGTATTTACTATTTATTGAAATCACTTTTAAAAGACTGAAAATGATTAATATTATTTAAATTCTGTGGGCCAGATTAAAATGATTAAAGGGCCGCATATGGCCCCCGGGCCGTAGTTTGCCCACCCCTGTTGTAGGCTATACCATAGGCCGACTGAGCGAGGAGAAAATTCAGTTTGTCGACTAGACAAAAGTTAGTTTGGTTGAAGACGTTTCTCAGTTCATCCAAGCTGCTTCTTCAGTTCTGGTCAGACTCTGGTGGACACTTCCTTATATCTGCAGGGAGGAGCTAACTACACTGAAACTACACTGAAACTAACACACACACTTGTTTACAGTTTTGTTAGTTAGGCCCATTGACCTGTACAGGGTGTGGGGTCTAATTAGCATAAAAATTCATGGCCATAATGGAGCTTCCACACCTCTGGACCTGACCTGACTACACCTGTTGTTCTCTTATTTGTTTAGAATTTGAGGATGGAGTTGTAAATAGGAGCTAGATGGTGTCTGAGTCCATTTCTGTTTAGAGAAGGAGTCTCTTTCTTAACAAACATGGCTTCTTTCACTCCCCTCTCAAACCAATTCTTTTCTCTGGCTAAAAACTGAATTTTCTCCTCGCCACAGATTCTACCTGGACAACTGAGGGATTCTTCTCACACAGGCCGACTAAGAAATGACAAATACCTGTGACAATCATTACAAATACCCAATGTGTAACGTAATGCATTAAATACTCCCAAAACACTCAGTATTTTTGACCTCTTTTCTTGTTTTCATATTTTATTGCCGCTGTTATGTCATTCATCTCTAGTAGCTCTTGATAGTTTGCAGTGACATCACGCTGGGGGTGTTCTACATCAGTGTCGCAACAGATTTTTTTGGGTTGCCTTGTCATGATCTTTATGTAAATCTGTAATATACACTTCTAAGTAAGAAAGTAAGGCTTTATTTATATAACACTTTTCACAGACATTTTTTTTGTCACAAGATGCTTTACAGAGCATTATTCAGCATTATTCATTCACTCTATACCTTCTGACTCTATAACTCTATAACTTCTGACACATGAGAGAGTGAGTGAATATTTAGTTCCACTATTTCTGGTTCAGTTCAGTGTTGAAAAGAAAAAGAAATGTTCTACGTTTAAAGTCCAAATAGGTGACTTATGGATCCTTTTATTGCTGCTTCAGTGACTGTTATTCATTGTTTCAAAGTCGAGTACTGTATTATCTGCACTATTAGGCGCTCTGGATTATCAGGCGCACTGTCATTAAATGGTCTATTTTTGAACTTTTTTCACAAATAAACCGCACCGGACTTTAAAGGAAACACAACAGTTGGATGGGTCAGTCGGACTTTGTTTGTTTGGCGCGTTCAATAATGCTGAAATCCACCTTTATTTTGTGATTTTGTGAAGGTTTGTGACTTTTAAAATATGAGTCCCCAGGATAAAATTTGGGAAACAATGATCTAATGAAACTACTGCATATTGCATCAGGTTTGTCAAGTTGCAGTGTACTGTTTTATGTCATGTTCGTGGAGAATTGTCGTCTAGGGTTCTAGGGTATCTCCATGGTAGAATGTTCAGCAGTTGGTGACACAATGCACACTTTACCAAACACGGTCAAAAGAGTTTAAGACTTCTGAAAAGTCTGTAGTCTGAAAACACCAAATGGATTTAAACGACGCATCTTCAGGAGCCTGTGACCGATACGAGCATTCATGGTCCTGTTTAGGCATTTGATATTCGACAAAAATGGTGCGAAACTAACTGTACGTGTTGTAGTTCCAGCCAGATTGTGTTCAAATAAAGATCAGATTAGAGTTTTTCAGAGCTTCAGACAGAGCAGTGCTTACAGTTAGTGTCACACCCCCATGGAACGTTGATGACATCAGCTGCAAAGTATCGATATGTTTGTTTAAAGGACAGTTATAGCCTGTCATTGGAAATCATCAAAGCTACTGTAGAGTCCTCCAGCCCCACTGCCCACGTGGATCCTGCCTCATCACCATGGAAACGGCAAAAGAACTGACAAGTGAAAGTGAAACTGAAACCTCCGCGCTAATGATGTTCGACAAGGTGATTTTGTAAACATTCTATAGGCCGTTGTAGCGATAATAAAACTCTTTAGCCTATCCGTAAACACTTGATCACGTGAATAATGTTGTTAGAATGAGTCTGTGAAGTTCTCGTGTTCGTTTATTGTTAAAAAAAAAGCACAATTACCACTTTTATCAGGCCTGATCAGTTACACAGTTAAAAACGGGCAAATCGGACACTTTAATTTCCCTTCAGTTATTTTAAAATTACAAATCATTTGAATAAAACCACTCCACTAAAAACTTTGGCAACTAGCGCAACGTTTATAGCCTCGTTTGACCGTAACATAAAAATGACGCACACTTACAGTGACCAGATTTTAAAAAACAAACAAAACTGAAAACAAAAAAACTGGGGCATCCCTGTTTTGGGTGATTGGGAATAATAAAATTGTGAAACGAGTGCAGAATTAAGGAAAATTTTGACGCACTCGGGACTAACGTGAGTCAGTATAGTCATGTTTTTTTGTGTTTTGGTCGTTTTTAAGCAGCTTTTTTTGTATTTTACCTCAACAAATTACAATGTATGCCTCTTTTTATTATCAAATTTCTCAAAAGTAAGAACATTTGGGACATTTCTTGTATAAAACTGTGACAAATCAACAGTTTTGGACAAATCTGCTGGGACAAAGCTCAAAACATGGACTGTCCTGGGTCGTAAACAGACGTCCGGTCACTAGGGATGTAACGATATCCAAATCTCGTTACGATATTATCACAATATGCATCTCACGGTACGATATTTATTGCGATATTTTGACGAGGCTGATATAATTGCAGACAGGACACTTTTTTTGCTTTTAAAATACCTTGGCGAGATTTTGGTATGAATTATTTCCGTCAAAATCCCAAAAATTCAAGTTAAAAACATATTTCTTGATGTTGTTGCGCTGAAATGAATCATGGGATATGTAGTTCCCGATGTTTATTAGGTGTTGCTACAGTAAAACAACACATTTAAGCAAAGGGACTTGTAACACGAGAGACTTTTGACGATATCACGATATTTCGGTTATTGTTACATCCCCATTGGAGAAAAAAATGGAATCCGCTTTTGTGAAACTGACCCGGCGTCTCTTCGTTATGACATCAGCAGTGACATCACGACAGTATGGCTGCTGCTACACGCGGGTGAGCGACTCAAGCTACGGCTACAGCAGAATGCAAAGTAATGATAGCACCAATCTTCAGTTAGTTAGCGTAGACGGCGAGGGCCTTTCCGAAAACCCCCCCGTACAAAACAGACTCCTGACGCTAGGGAATCGATAACAAAGTGCATTCAAGCTTGTATTGTCCACAGTGACGAGGCGACGCGCTGATGTGAGCTAAAGCAAAGCAGCGATGATTGTTGCTTCTTTATTTGGTATGTCGGCAGCGAGCGTAGCATCGCCGCCCCCACCGCCGCTATGAGCTACATGCTACATTTAAAAAATACTGGTGTCGAGTCAAAACAACTACCGGAGAATGACTTTTTACGATGGGATTTCGATGGATGGATGGGCTTGAATGCACGTTGTGAACAAAAACAACCGAAACAAAACGAAACATTCACGAAACGGCCGGGAGATCGTATTTACACGCACACGAAAACGACCCATGAAAAAAGGGATACTGCAGCCGTCTTTACTTTTGCTTTCGGAAAGGGCGGTAAAATATATTAGAACATATATTTACAGTGCGTTTTTCTCGGACGACGGACGAACGAACGAACGGATGGTCGGACGGTACAGATCCCGTCTTGCGAGCAGAAGTGACGACGCCCTGTTTCCTGTGACTAAACCAGAGAGCATGATGGGAAGGCACTGTCAGAAAGAACCATACACATTGCCATGAAGTTGGACCCTCACTTTCGGGGCGACGGGGGTCGAAGGGGGAAAGTGGGCGGGGCTTCAGGGTCATGTGTTATGGGCACACCCTGTTTATGCCACATCGCGGGACACTTCTACAGTTTCGCTGGATATGGTTCTTTTTTTTTGTGTAGAAATTTGTCAAAAATAAACAATAGCCTTCATCGACTGAAAGGGCCCCTTCGAGGACTATTTTCGAGCTGTGTTGTAATGCCGTTTCCTCGTCGCAAACGTACATGGAGTTGCGTTTTGTTTCGTTCACACCCGTTTAAAACACAAACCGAAACTGAAAACTCTCTGTTCTACTTTGTGATGTCATTAATTGTGTTTTTAAAGAGTCATTTTCAGCCCTAGATTTGCAAAATTTTGAAGTTACAGCTATTTTGGTGAAACTGCTTCACTCCTCAATACACCAGCCGATATTAAAGACTTTCTATTTCACATCTCAACTAAAATATTCCAAAATAAAAGCAACGACTTGAGGTTATTTTGGAGTATTGAAGAGTAGGAGTGTAACGATATCCATGTCTCTCAATACGATATGAATCTCACCGTACGATATTTATTGCGATATTTTGTGGAGGCTGTGAACAAAACTCTTAATATACCAACTTTTTCCTCTTAAAATGACTTGTCAAGACTTAATCCAGAGACTTAAAAGAGTTTAGAACTGTTATTTGTTCCTGTAGTCTGCACTGAAATGGAGCAAAGGATCATGGTCTATGTAGTTCTCTGTCTTGTTTTAACTATTTCTGCACCGTAACTCTTAATTTAAGCAAAGAGACTTGTGATTCGATATATTGTGATGGTCCAACGATATTATTGTGAGAACTTTGACGATACGATATCACGATATTTCAGTTACTGTTACATTATTATATTGAAGAGTAAAGCAGTAAAAGTAATAGCAGTTAACCTTAAAACTACCATTAAATGACATCACAAATTGGAACAGAGCGACTGAGCTTTGGACATGCAGATGGCCTAATAGTTTTGTCATGATACTAATAACCAAGTCGATACTAAGGGATAGACTCGATACTTAATACCGATACCACAATGATAATAAAAAAACGCTCTTTATTCAGATAATAGAATGTGATTTTCAACATTAAATCGTAGTATTTTCTTTTTTATTCCCATGTGGTCTTATATCTGTGTAATCCCTCAATGGTCCAGGGCTAAACCAGGTCAAAACCAAGTCGAAACCAGGTCTAAACAAGGTCAAAACCAGGTCGAAACCAGGTCTAAAGCAGGTCCAGGGGCGTATACTAGTCTATGTGCTCTTATACTTGTTCTGAAACAACTCAAGATCATTCTAAAACTCTTCAGTAAATCTTCATTTCTGGGACTTTTTTAGTATCAATACTTTCTCAAATCAGTATCTAGTTTTGTTACAAGTTTTGGTATTGTTAGTATCTGTTTTTCGATACTTTTCACAACCCTACATCCTAATAATTACTCAAACGTGTGTGAACGAAACAAAACACAACTCCGGGTATGTTTTTCGATGAGGTAACAGCGCGACAACACGGATAAAAGCTCCCAAGAGTCAGTTCTGCGTAATATAGGACCTTTAACAAAACACATCTCTCTTTGAAAAAAAAAAAAAAAAAAAAGATAAATACTTTAAACATTATTAATAAATTGGTCTCAACACCAGCATCCGATTGTAAAAATGAATTGAAAATCAAAATATAAAATTAAAATATCTAGATCGTATTTACATATTTTTTCTGTATTTCTTTTGTACACAGTGACCCCTAGTGGTAGGTTTCTTTTACGGCAGCTCCTGAGAAAAAATAGCAGTCCAGAGTTGACATCCCGCTGGTTGCGTCGCTCTGTCAAACGAGGGGGGCGGGGCTTAGTCCGTAGATCCCGCCTCCTCCTATAGTGCTTGAGAATGTGCCTTAACAGTCTCGCGCGGGCTTCTTCGGAAATCCGCGCACTTTCGCACAGTCGCTTATCGTTTTACAAAAAAAAATCCTCGTTTCATCCTTTCACGCCTCCGAATACGAGCTCTGTACGTTTAGTTTGTCTTTCTTTAGCTTGACGCCGTCCACCAGCTCAAAGTTATAGTTCTCCAGAGCTGATAAGTTCCTGTCCGACATGGCGCCGTGCGAGCAGGCGCAGTACAGCACCACGCCGCAGATGGCGCCCAAGAACACGCCCAGGGCCGACATGGCGATGATGGTGATGAGGATGGGGTCCAGCGTCTTGAGCATGTTGCCCGCTCCGCTGATCTGATTGGTCTCCACGAGGTCAGGGTACTCCGTCATCTCCTCCACTGTAACAGACGAAGAAGAAACGTAGAATCAGTGATTAAATTATAGTTAAAATAAACTTGGGTTGGGTTCTTTTTTAGTCTTGGTTTAGTCCTGATCTAGTTCAGATTTAGTTTCAGTTTTTGTTCTAGTATATTACACATTTAGATTAATCCATCACTTAGTTACAGAAGGAAATTTACCCCAAAATTATTCAAGCTTACTTGGATCTAGTCAGCAATGTGTTGACTAATTACCACAAGATCTATATATATATTTTTTTAAGGCTACGTTTATATGATGAAGGTCTGAACAGAAGACGCAAAAGTGGCGTCGCGTCTTCACTTTTTATTCTGCGTTTAGATGAGTGTTTTCGGGAGGAAATCTGCGTGCATACAGTGACGCAAAAGTGTGTGGAATTTGATTGGGTATGTTTGTTTCTGTGTACTGTATGTATGTGACGTAAAAGCGTACGTGACGTGAGCAGATCTGACCAGAGTTTAGCGTCTTGGGCAGCATAGACGGAAACACTAGGGCGGAGCGAATTCAACTTTTCCACTCTGGAGGTTTCAGATTTTTGCGTTTTTAAGCCCCAAAAACGCCGTCACCATCTAAACAAAAGGCACTTCCAATAAGATATTTTTGTCGTTTTTACCTGCAAATGTTCTCGTGTAAACAGACCCTAAATCTGTTTCTGAATTTTTCCAAATTTTAGGTTTTAAAATGTAAACACAAACATCTACGTTATGGACATTAGTGAGCATAGAGCTGGTTAGACTCTGTTTTGTCTTTGAACTCTTAATATTTGATTTATTTGAAAAGTGTATGGGTAAAGTGAATGGGATTATCATCTTTACAAAATCATTGCCATTGACTTTTTTTTAGCGTTCTTACTTTAAAAATGTTCAAGTGTATGTACGTATGTATTACATTTAACACAAATCAGGGTTTCTTACAGATTTCGTTGAGGCTGTCCTCCGGCAGCATCGGCTCCGTGGGCACAGCCGGATCTGTGGAGTGGACAGTTATTGGTTAGAAATGACATCACTGAGTTTGCTGAAGGAGGAGGGGGAGGGGCTAAGTGTTACCTTTGCAGTCGGCCGCGCTCAGTCCGTTCAGAACCTTGATGTCGTCCACGGCGATGTCCCCCCAGCTCTTCCTCTCCACCTGACCCTCGATCACCACCTGCAGACAGACGCAAGATTTCAATGAGTTTATTCACAAACTGTTCATTCTTTTATCAGGTTGGGTAGGAAAAAAATATTAAAATGTGATTTCAATATTTTTACATGGCCTTTTGATATAACTTGGACATAATATGAACCAACCAAAGGAACTCGAACACCAAACATTTTCTGGTATTAGCTTTAAAAGATCATTAATCAAACAAGAGTCAGAGGTAAAAAGTGTCAAAAATATGACTCAAGTACAGAATTTATTTATTTATTTTTTTTCATTTTAATGTGATGATACTGGATCGATATCGTGGGCTGCTGTATTGATATATCACCAAGAGTAATTTTTGCTATATTTTACTAAATTATTTTGTTACAACTACAGTTTTGTTGTTTTTTTAGAGGAAGGAAACTCGTTTATGTTTATGTTTGTGTTTCATATGAACTTTGTACAAGAAGTGGTTTAACAAAGACTTTTAGTATCACAGTCAAGATTTAGCCTTTATTTTTTATTGAACTGTATTGAGATATGTATCGTATCATGGCCAATATATTGAGGTATGTATTATATCAGTAACTTCTTAATGATACACAGATCTATTAAGGGTACATCACGTAACCTTTTTGGCGCATGATCCGCCACCTGATTGTAACCATGGAGATGTTATAGTTTTTATAGCAGGGGTGTTAAACTCAAATTCACAGAGGCCAAAATTAAAAACTGGGACTAAGTCGTGGGCCAAACTACATATTTATTGAAAAATTTCAACAACATCTGTATATTTTTCTCTTCTTTCGAGATATGCAATATTAAACCTTTTCTTACTAAAATACATGTTTAATAAAAGTTTTGCTTAATTGCATTGAACCCAGAACAAGCATCATATAAAATGATAACAAAAATGTATAATTTTATAAATGTCTGTTTTATAGGAATGTTCCATATGGTAGTAAACTTTATCTCCATGGAAACAAGTAAATGCCAGGCCAAGTTTCAGGCCAGATCTGTGGAGAGATGATCTCACTGACAGCATGTATGTAGAGGAACTCTCCACCAAAAAAAGTTACATAATGCTTCTTTTGAGAAAGTTTATATTCTGGTAATTCCAAACAAATACATGAAATTAAAATTGTTACTCAAATTGTGTATTACTGCAATTTGCCTAATATTTCTCACTCCACTCCCCAGGTTCTGTTCTAGTGTACACCCAGCAGAACCAGCTGTATTCCCCTCCTCGCTCTCACCTGATACGGCCTGTTGGTCCTGGGCACCGGCACGCGCCCCTCCCTCCAGCGGTTGCCCTGGTGACCGCTCACAGTCCACAGTAAGATGTCGGCGGGTCCGTCCAGGGTCTGTTTGCGCTGTTTGATGTGCAGCGTGCCGATGTGGGGTCCGAACATGTGGTACCAGAAGGACACGCACAGGTCGGCGTCGGGAGAGCTGACCATCGGGCTGACCAGACGGGCCACTTCTGTCTGCTGTGGACCCGTGGCCAGAGTGTAGATGAAGTTTCCAGAGCCGCCTATGAGGTAAAGGAAAGACATGTTGAATTTCAATGTGTAGATGTAATGTTTTGTTCTTTTTTTTATTACTATTTATTTATTTTAAGTACAGTGTAGTGTGTAAGGTGAAGTGTAACTTGAAGTACCCTGAATCTGAATCATCACGAGTACAGTACAGTTTAGTGGGCAGGGAAAGGGGGTAGGTGAAAATTGAAATTTTCTGAGCACATTCTTCTGACAATACAGAATTAAAACATCAAACATGCACAAACTACTAAAAATACAAGTTTGAATAAGCCAATGATGAGGGAACACTATTATTTAAAACTCAAGTTAAACCAAGATAAAAAATTAAGTCAGAATATGTAGTACTGAAGTATATTTTGAAGTGAGATCATTTGCTTTTTATGAAAATATTAGAATATTAGATCTGCAAGTATGTCTAAATGCACTGCCATGTATATTTTATTTGTTTTTCTTAGATAATTCATAATTATATTAAAATTAAATAATTATAGATAATTTGGTTTTGGTCCTGTCCTCACCTGTATGGTCCATATTAGGCCCAGTGTTGAGGGTGGGAGTTCCGCTGGACTGGATCTGCCACCTGGAGCCCGTGTCCTCAGAGCTCCAGCTGCAGAAGGACGGGTTCGAGGCCCAGCCGAAGTCGCACGCGAACCACAGGAACGCTGCAGCACACACAGAGACAAAAGGAGGTAGAGGTCAGCTTTAAGACACATTATACAGACTGTATTTTGGATGTGGATACTTCAACTGTGATTAGATTTTGATATATGTTGAAAAGGTAGGATTCTGTTCAGAGTGCTCTTCATAAACAATTCCAGAAGTGAATGATAAGAGTGAAAATAGTATTAGATAAGCATAGTTTTTATGAAAAAAATGGGGGGGAAAGAGCTTTGTTGTTTTCTATTTGTTTTAGGTATTATATTATGTTTTTGTGTCTTGTTTTCATGATTATTAATGTATTTTGTTTAATGTTATATTCTATTCTCTTAAATAATCATAATTAAAAAACAAAACCAACAAACAAGAAAAAAAAACAACTCCTGTAGTGTTAATGTTTGAGAAAAGACTGAAATACTAACAGATAAAGTAATAGAAGAATCACATGCAGCTCAGAACATGTTTGTAGTGATCTAAACTACAGGTGTAACTAAAAAAGAGAGGATATTTTGTTCTTTGCAGTGTGATTTAAATTTGATTATGTTATATTGTGCAGCTCTACACTGTTTACATCTTAGAAAAATGTAAATATATGCAAAACAGGTCAAAGTAATTCCGCAGTGAAGCTGTTGAAATAAAGCTGAAGACAATAGCTCCGAGATCCAAAGCTGAGTGTTGCAATTTATGTTCTGAAATGGTCAGAATGACTCAAGCGGAGGTGTGTGAAATAGATACACCTGTGGTCCTTTGTGACAAAAATGTACTTTGAAAAAGAAAACCACAATATGCAGTACATTTTTTGCCCAGCTTTTTTATATCAATGTTTTCATTTACTTCTGCTCTAATCATACAGACCAAATATTATACAATATTTTGAAATTTGAACACAGTAAATTCCAGATTTGTTTGTGAAAGTTTCAAATTATTATTAGATTTTTTTCTATATTTTCCAACTAATTTTAATTTGCACACAAACAAACTCACACATACTCCCAAACAAACACATTCAGTGCACTCTGGGACTTCTCTAGAACACACCCAGATCATTTTTACATCAAATATCTACATCTGTGTCCTTCAGTGTGGACTCATGTGTACAAATGTCTTTCTATTGATATAATCTTGTAATGGAAGATACACAGTGAAAAGAAAAATATCAAAAAATTCAAATAGACACTAGGGGTTTCAACATCAAAGAATGAAAATAAATCAAAATGTAAAAATAAACCGGCAAAGTTATGCCACTAAACAAAGTCATTTTGAATGGAGGTCAATGGGACAAAAATGTACTGAAGGACCACAGGTGTGAGTATTAGTATACCGTATTTTCCGCACTAAATAGCTCACTTAAAAGCATTTAATTTCATCAAAAAACGACTGCGCCCCTTATAATCCAGAGTGCCTTATATGTATATATGAATTTATTGGGGTGTCTTAGTACGACTTTAGTAAACTACAAAGCCACACCACTTGCAGTATTACGGCTCCCGTAGTCAGGAGCATCAGGAGTAATACAGACTGTGATTCCTTTTAATATCAAAATGCACCTGTCAAGAGACACGCTCACAACGCCCACTTTAAACTCAAGGCTGTTATAAAGTGAAAGTGTGAGCTGTGTGGGAGCAGTGGACAAGAGAAGGAGAACACACATTCACCAAGACAGAGAGACAGCGCCGAGCGACTTACACCACGATCTGCCAACGGATCGTGGACGCCTGGAGTAAGGATCAGTATCAACTGTGGTCCGAGCTTTCACCAAGACCAGAATCATCACTGAACTGAACTCCAGGGAACAGTAACCACAATGAGTTATTGTGAATACATGAACAATTTAGCGTCTCAGTTGTTTTTTTACGTGTTACAATTGAACAAAGTTGAGAGTTACTGTGAATGTGTTAAATAAAGTTTGACTGACTTATCTAACTGTTGTGTTTCATTTAATGCGCCTTATAGTCCGGTGCGATTTATATGTGAAAAAAGTTTAAAAATAGACCATTCAATGACAGTGCGCCTTATAATCCAGAGCGCCCTATAGTGCAGAAAATTCTGCTTGTTTAGCTTGTTTATTTCATGTGATCTTGAAAAAACACAGAAATTAAAAATACATCACAAAACACACAAACTGGCCTATTTTGGTGCTGTTTGGTGCAATACGGCCAAAGTTGCGCTAAAAAGACAAAAGTTGCAATGTACAAAAAAGTACCGAGGAGTGCAGGAGGGTTTTAAAACATGGAAAATCACTTCCTGGAACACTTATGAAATCACAAGAATTAAACAATGACATACTATTCCATGTTTTTGATGAGAAACCAAGATTATTTGCGATTCTAATCAAAATTTTAAGTCATTTCTTATTTGTTTTGTGTTTGCGTGATTAAGATAACCCCTGTTCCAGTTTTATCTTATGTAACCATGTCAAAAAAGCTGCATTTTCACTTGTAGGCACTAAAACCCTCCCTCCTCTTCAGCGTGAGTCTTATCTGTGAGCTCTGAAACGTCCTGACAGAGAATGGAAGTGACCCACTCCTCCGGCTCTCAGGAGCGCTGGACTTTAACAAGCTCCGATGGGCTTGTCACGCTGTATGTCTGCGGGCTACACTCCAGGGCCGAGGACGCGCTCTGATCCTGTGTGACCAGCGGGGGGCAGCAGAGCCACACGAGGGAGAGGGAGAACGGGATGATAGAAGAGAGGAGGAGGGGGAAGAGGTCTCCAAGTGCACTACATATACAGTATTTCTGTTCATATTTTGTTTGTTTACTCGTTGATACAGTGGTTAAAGGTGCACTGTGTAACTTTTTGTTTCTGGAGTTTCCATGGATACGTCATTGCTCTGCCTGGAATGTTCCACAGTATGACATTAAACAGCTCTCCCTTATATTTATTCAATTACAGGTGGTTTTAGAGCTCAAAAATACTTAGAAAACAGGCATTGTGACTGTGAGCGGGGTCGCCTCTCCACAGATCTGACCTGTAACTTGGTTTGGTTTGGTCTCCATGAAGACAGAAAGGTTTAATGCCATACTGTGAAACATTCCAGACAAAGAAATAACATTGCCATGGAGAATGTTATTGCTTATTGATGGACCTTCCACCAGAAAAGTTCCGCAATGCACCTTTAAAGTGAGCATACAAGTTATAGCCAGAGACCTTAAAGCATTTGTAACCTGCATGATTCCATAAAAATAGAACGTTAAAGCCATATTGCGGAACATTCTCCATGGAGATACATATGTTTAATGCCATACTGTGGAATATTACAGCTAAACAAACAACATTTCCATGGAAACAAACAGGAGAATTTATTGGAGGAGCATTTATTTTTATTTATTTATTTATACGCTTGTGAGTAAGAAACACAATTTTGATTCTTCACATTTCATATGAAGAATTGACAATAAACTTTTTTTTTTAATTTGAATTTGAAATTGAGAAGACTAAATCAGAGTGAGGTCTGTGGAGATGCAAGCCCGCTCAGAGTAAGGAGACGTGTTTTTAAATGCAACCAGAATTTTATTTTTGTGTGTTTTTTGGCTGAAAAGTTAAATTGTGTGTTTTCCAAATCTGTAAAAAAGGTTTATGTATTCAGTGGGTTAAAATTGATGAGAAATTAGGGCCGTTACCGTAGCAATTAACAATTCAAAACTAAATAATATTTTACATTGGTGTAAAGTCCTCAAAATGACCTCTGTGTCAGGAAAAAAAAAGTAATGTGATATCAGATTACAGATGATAAGTGTAAAAAAAAAAAAAAAAATCCTATATGATCTATAATAGGCCGCTCGTGATAAAAACAACCTATTCAAACAGCCGCCCCACAGTGTAGCGAAGCATATCTCCATCTCGAACCTTTATAATGACACGTCTAATACCTTTAATACTCTGTAATACAAAACCGCAGACAGACAAACCCGGGTTCAGAGCCAGGGACAAAGAACTGTGCATCTTGGTGGGTCGGCCCCCTGTCAAGATTTGTCCATTTTAATGAATAAAGACACCATAGTAACCAACGTCCAACTATGCACTCCCCCACGGACAAGAATCTACAAGGGAATGTCGAAATTGGATAAAGAAAGACTTCCGAGTAACACAGTGGAATGGTGGAATGGTTGGGATGGGGCCCGACGTGGTGAAATACGAATGTTGGCCTGTTGAACACAAAAGGCAGAATTCCCTAGCGTGTAGCTGTATTTCCGAAGCAAGGCCGTGTTTTGAAGGAGGAATCGTAATTAAAATAACGTATGGTGATATGAAAAGCCAAGGAGAGGGGGCGCCAGAGGTTAATAATGAGGTTTTTTGTGCAGCGGTCGATGAATAGACTTAGAATTTGATGAGACGTCGGCTCAAATGCAGTTTGTAATTTGGGTTTAAATGACTGAAATTTGTTTTTAAAGCAATGGACTTTGAACAATACTTTATATCTTAAAGAGGCGGTATTACTTATGACATCGATAAGGTTTTAAAGGGCCCATATATGCTATTTTCTGATGTTTTTAAGATGTTTCCTCATCACAAACAGACCTGGATTTGTCTCTGCAGATTTAGGCTGAGTTCTTCTCTAAACACTCTGGAAAATACTGTTGCTCTATTGTGTTTCTGAATTCCATGCACTTTCACTGGAAAGATTTGGTTAATTTCAGCTCTGGAATCGCACCAACTGAGCTGTTTCAGCTTTGGAAATGTAGAGAGACACGTGTGAATGAAACAACACACAACTCCAAGTCTGTTTTTGAGGAGGTAACAACATTATAAGATGACTAAAAGCTCACAAGAGCCTATTTTGTGGAATATAAAACCTTTAAACAATATTTTTTTTCTTTTAAGAGGGTGTACTTTACTTCTATGGGGTATTAACTGCTAACACATAACATATTTAGATCACCATGCTACTTTATATTGTTTTGAAAATGCTATATTAGTCGAAAACAACATTCATTGCTCCCCGCGTTGAGTCACTCCCCCTTCAGAGCGCTATCTATCACAACACAATCAGTTTGAATCCTGATAATTAAACTACTGTACATTGTATCAGGTTTGTCAAGTTGAAATGTATTGATTTGTGTTATGTTTTTCAGGGTTCCCACTCGTTTTCACTGACAAAATTTCTAAATTTTCATTTTCCATGACTTTTTCATGACCTAAAGTGAATTTTTAATGACTTTACAGCACCTACATGTGTAGAACCGATCAGACTTTTAGGGCTAAATATGAAATGTTAACTCTTTCCACTCACCTTATGGTTTGGGATTATAGTTTTTTAACATTCATTACTAAAATAATGTCAGTGCATTTATTGTCATCTCTTTTAAACAAAAGGTGCAGATGTACAATAATCTAATGAGTAATCTAATGAATAGTCTAATGAGAATTTAACAGAATGCTGTAGTTATGTGAAAGAGACACTAAAATTCGATGACTTCTCCAAATGACTTCTTCATTGAATTTACAAATTTTCATGAAGTTTTCAGGATTTCCATGTCCGTGGGAACCCTGTTTTTTGTATATTTATGGAGAATTGTCATCTAGAGTTCGAATAGTGCCTGGGAGAGATCGCTAGATTACTCAAACATGCACGGGTGACATCTAAAATCTTTCCAGGCATGGTTTTGATGAGAAAACAATGTAATAACATGAAACAGAAAGCTCCAAAAAGTCGATTAATGCCCCCTCTTTAATATCAGTATCGGCAAATATCGGATATCGACTCAAAAACTCCACATTGCACCATCCCTGTGAAGAATGATGATCTCCAACTCCCTCTCATCAGAACCCCAGAAGCGGGCAGGTGGATGAAACCTATGGCCCATTAGCCGAGGTCAGACAGGGCCAGTGTACGCTCGTGTGCGGCCCCCCGGAGCCCTCCTCATCACCTCATTTCCTGCGGTCGTTCGCGCGCCGGCCCCTGTGTACGCCGGTTGTGTGTGTGTGTGTATTTAAATGTGTGGTGATTAGCGGTTGTGCTGAGGAGGCAGCAGCAGAGGGCCAGCGCTAATCAACCTCTCTCTGGCCTGTCAGCGGGGCCGTGCTATCACGAGGAGCTGGCCATTAACTAAACTCCGCGCAAATTCGCTCGGAAATATCGTATAGTTTTTCATATGTGTGTGTGTGCGAGCGAGCGCGGCGGCGGGGTGGGGGGAGATGAGTTTTTCGAGGGAGTACTTACGGGGAATGGTGTCGGCTTCGGTGGGGGTGGGTTCAGGTGTAGTGGGTCCACCTAGAACAACAAAAAACGGTTAGTATGTTTACCTACTTACATTGTTTTCATGCATGTGCTTTGGGTACAATCGGTCAATACCTCAGACTTAGTACTGTTTGTCATAGTATGGTATCATTTAAGTATTTTTAGTATATTTTTTTTATTATAAGTATTTTTTTAGTTTAAGTTCATGGGTACATTCATTAACATATAGGCCCAGATCACATGAAAACGAGGACTAAACTAGGACTAAACTCAGAACTTAACTTAAAGTACTTGACCAGGACTAATGCCGGACGTACACTGTGCGATATTTTCGATCGTTTCACTCAGCCCCAGCTCAACTCGTACGAACAAATCGCAGTGTTTAAAAATTCACAGCTCACGATTCATGTTCTCTAACTATATGATTTACTTCAGCATTGCGAAACCCTTACTAGAGACGAATGGATTTCAAACAGGTTTGATTTTCTTGCGACATACGACTGCCGATCGGGAGCTGGTTGTGAGGGATTAATCGGTTCTCGTTACCCCATGTTTACTACACGAAGCACGACACATGATTAAGTGAAAAATCGACTCAAAAAGGGCCAAAAATCGCACAGTGTACGTCCTGTTTAAGATGGATGGACTCACACTTGTTACTATGTGGTGTTAAACTGAGACCGTTGAAGTCCAGATTTGATCCTGTCCTGTACTCTAATCCTTGTTTAGTCCTGATTTTTTGGGTTTAGTCCCTGTTTAACAGGACCAAACCAAGACTACATAAGGACTAAATCATGTAAAGCGTGATCACAAACCATAGTTTCCTATAGTCAAATTACAAATTTCTAAAATCCATATTTTTCCATTCTTTCCATTATGTTATTTTGTATCATAGCAAAATATAGTTCTAAGTAGGTCAGAAATACAAAGTCACAATATGGTTACAAGTTGTTCTATGTTTTATGGTTTATGCTGTATGTAATTATTTGGTCTATTAATTTACATTACATCAATAAAAGGGGAAGCTATGTTTCTTTTTAACTAATGTAATAATAATAGCATGGCCAAAAACCTTGTCTGTCTCCTTCTCAATCTCCTCCTTAAAACAAATCATCTGTACATGTTCTGGCTCCGGTACAACAGCAACTAAAATCTCCAGGTGCTCAATGCTGTGTCCATGTTTAGGCGACTCCGTAAACACTGTCCTCCAATGCGCATGTCTGTTTAAAGTTCACACTGGAGAACACATACAAGTCGCATTTAACTGGAAATGTGAACGACCCCGCAAAAAAATCAGATTTCACAAAAAAAATCTGAATTGCACATCAAGCCCTGCAGTCTGAACGTATCCTTTGTCTCGTGACATCTTGTGACACGAGATCTTGTCCCATTTCTAGCGTATTACTAACAATAGTGAATGTGACTCAATACACAAATACATTAGTGTTTCTGATAGTGTTTGGAGAAACTGGAATGGCAGCCAAATCTCCATCAGTTGTGGCTACAGAACTACTTCACTTCCAGAATGAGATTGCAAACTGAATGGATAGGCTATAGTTACTTTCTTTATAAATTGTAGGGTTTTTTTTGCACTGTTTTCCTATCGCCAACATGGCTTCACGTTTTTCCACAGTCTTTTTTTTTTGGTTCGGTCTAGTCTGAATCACCTACTGGAGACTGCTGTTAATGGGGAGAGCGGAGCGGTGAGGCGGCGAGGCAGCCAGAGAGGTAGGCTCCGAGTCAGTGGGTTAGTAGGAAACCAGGCCAAGAGGAACCAGAGGAGAAGAGAGGAAAGGGGGAAGAGCGAGCTAGAACTGCAGGTACGCTCAGCAGCAGGTGTGTGGAGGACTCCCAGGCAAACGCGCTAATGTTGGCTATAACGGAGAGGAGGAGGAGGGGGATGATGGCGGGGTGGGGGAGGGGGACAGGTGCACGTAATTAGAGCTGCGGCGAGGCGGGGATATCGGCACGGGGTGCTGCGGCGTGCGGTGGAGCGCTCGGGCCAGCAGAGGGCGCAGAAGCACTGTGGTTAAGAGGGAGCCAGGTGCAAATGTGAGGAAATCCCCCAGTCTGGAAAATAAGTGCACTAAGGGCTTTGTTCAAATGGAGGATTTGATTATTTCAATGTCTATCAGTGTTTAGGATTTAGGAGTGTTTATAAAGGAATTCTGTAGCGTTTTAAGATATTGACTAAAGATTTTTTTGATTTATTAAATGTAGGAATGTAGGGAAAAATAAAAAAAGGGCGCAAAGAATCGAGGCGTAACAAAGCAGAAGCGGGAAGAGGGCGGAGCAAGGGGTTAAAAAAGAGAGGCTAGGTGTTAAAGGGGAGAGAGTTAGAGGAGTGGTAGGTGTTAAAAATGGAAGAATAGAGTAGGCTATAAAGGGGAGGGGCTTAGGGTTAGGGTTAGGGTTAGAGCAGTGGTGGGCAAACTATGGCCCGGGGACCATATGCGGCCCTTTAATCTTTTTAATCTGTCCCGCCAAACTTGAATAATAGTAATAATAATCATAATTTTCAGTGTTTTAAAAGTCATTTAAAATAGTAAACACCGTGGGACTTGACATACAGATATTTTGTTGTATTATGAGATATTTCAATAACATGGGATATGTTTTCTACATATCTCATGTTATTTTGTTCTCTTATGAGGTGGATTACCAAAAAAATCCATCCATCTGCTCCTGGTCCAGCCCTTCTGTTAAATTTTGGAACCCTTTGTGCACTACAAGTCAAAAAGTTTGCCTACCCCTGGGTTAGGGTGTGGATTAAAGGGAATAGACTACGGTTTAAAATCGAGTGGATAAAGCCCAATTTGTGGTCGTGCATCAAATTGTCGCCGTGGCTTTGAACTCGTTCTGCAGAGTATCTGCGTCGACTGACATGCACCTCCAAAATTTTGTAACTATGCATCGAGAGCAAGGAAAAGCAACACAGACAGTAAGGGCTGTGAATCTGTGTATCATTCTTTTTTCAAAATAAATACAAAAATAAGAAAAAAAAAAAAACTAAAATTTTCTTCATTATCTGTCTCTAAATCAAAAATGAAAAAATGGATAACGATAGTTTTTTCATTTTGCTTTTGGAGACAAATAATGATGAAAATAGTTGTTTTTTCGTTTCACTATTTTTAGTTTTATTTTGAAAAACGAATGAACAAATGATACACGGATTGGTGTGATTGGTCCGCTCTATATACATTCACGGTACTCCACTTTCCCACTTTAAAAACATACATTTTTAAATCTTAGCCTCCTAGTGTTGTGGAGGTGAATTACTTCGAGGTGCATAAACCTCAGTGCAGATCCATAAATCAAAAACGACGGTGACAAGGCGACGATGGCAGTGTGCGTTGAGCCGAAGCAGAACTAGGACTCGGTCTTAAGGGTTAGGGTGAGTGTTAAAGGGGAGGGGCTAAGAGTTGAAGGGGAGGGGGTGATGGTTTAAGGGGAAGGTTAGTGTGGGGGAGGAGCTAGGTGTTAAAGGGGAGGGTTAGGGTGCAGTCTCATAGGGCGATGTCAGCACCTGTCCTGTCGTAGCGGTCACCTGTGCCGCTGTGGCAGTTGATTTCGTCGTCACATTCGTCGGACGGGGTCGTGCTCGGGGCCTGGGTGGTGGGCGCCAACGTGGGAGCTGCAAGACAACAAAACAAACATTGTAAATTTCTATTATCACTACACATTTCTTTAGTTTTACATTTCTTACAGAACTATTTGTAATTTTTAATGTCACTGATAACTGCAGTAGTTTTGGAACGGCAGTTATGTCAGTTTTGGCAAAATACGCCCGGAATCATCGAAGTGAGTTTGTGGAAAAAAAAAAAAACTACCAGACTGGGACCTGTACATGTACAACACACATTTTTGTTCTAGTTACCCTATTTACTACTTCTTCTACTGTTACTACTACTAGTACAGCTACTACCCAGAGTTGGAAGAAGTACTCAATTTTGTTCCTCAATTAAAAGTACAGATACATACAAAGTACAAAGACAAACTGAAGCAAAAGTAAAAGTATCACATGAAAAAAATCTAGTAAAAAGTAAAAGTATTCAGTAATTTTTTATTTTTTATTTTTTTAAAGATTTGATTTACTGTTATTTAGGGGTGTGCAAAAATATCGAAATATGTGATGAAACAGTATCGATATCGTGGGCTGCTGTATCGATATATCACAAAGAGTATTTTTTTGGTATATTTTACCAAATTATTTTGTTACAGTGCTACAGTTTTGTTGCTTGTTTAAAGAAAGAAAACTTGTTTATGCGACACATTTGACATTTTCACTGTTTTGAGGATTAAAATGGTTGTGCTTTATATAAACTTTGCACAGGAAGTGGTTTAACAGAGACTTTTAGTGTCACAGCCATGATTTATCCTAATTTTTTATTGAACCGTATCAAATCGATTTGAAATACATCGTATCAAATTGAAAGTGCACTGTATCGTGATATGTATCGTATTGTGACCTGTGTATTGAGGTATGTATCGTATCGGCAACTTCTTAAAGATACTCAGCCCTACTGTTATTCCTGGTATATCACTGGGAAACTTTGTCTTAACTTTTAAAAATAAAGGTAAGACTTAACAATAACTACACTTTAATTAGCCATAATAAAGCATGAACAAAGGCTTAATTAACAATGAACAAATAGTTAATTAAGAATGAGTTAAGTTTAGTGATGACTTTAATACTCTTACCATAACTCCTAACCCCTTAATTGCCCACTATATCACCGCATGACATCACAAAGTGGAGCAGAGTGTTTTGAGTTTGAGAGAAGAACTCAGCCTAAATATGCAAAGTTTGTGAGTTAAACATGTGTGAATGAAACAAAACGCAACTCCGGGTCTGTTTGTGATAAAGACACAACATTGTAACATAGATCAGATGATAGTGTGGTATGACCCTTTAAGGTGGCACCAAAATAAAATAATTCTGAGTTTGATTTGACTTCACAAACTCTTGCTATCTTTTTCCATGTAAGAGCAGTCATTACCGAGCGACATCACTGACCCCAGTACCATATCTGTGTAATATAGGGCACACACACAATTCTGGCCCCACATGCTGCCCAGATTTCCACCCACAGCTTCAGTACAGACTATTAGCATTCCTGTTTTTTATCAAATGTGGGCATGTTTTAAAATAGAGCTGAAGGATGCATGCGGAGGAGTTTGGGGTTAGCTGTGCGCAGGGCTGGCGGTTGGAACCAGGGCCTATCATTATGTGCTTGGATGTGGCTGCCATGGCAAAATGCACTGCACACTCCACTATGTGTTTAGGGCTGAAGGGAAAAAAAAAAAAAAGATATTATAATTTTGGCTGAACATTGAATCAAAAAGTTAATGTTTTATTTAAGAGCTCAAAAATTTAAAAGAAAGAAAGAGAACTAAAGTAAAACTAAAAAAAAATAAATAAATAAAAAACTATTACTAATACTAATATAATACTAATACTAATACTACTACTACTAATAATAATATAATTTTGGCTGAACATTGAATCAAAAAGTTAATGTTTTATTTAAGAGCCCAAAAATTAAAAAGAAAGAAAGAGAACTAAAGTAAAAGTAAAAATAAATAAATAAGTAAAAATAAATAAAAATACTACTACTACTACTACTACTACTACTACTACTACTACTACTACTACTACTACTACTACTACTACTACTAATAATAATAATAATAATAATAATAACATAAAAAAGTAATGGACCAAAACAAAACTAAATAATAAGTAAATAAATAAATTAATTAATAATAAACAAACAAACTAAATAAATAAATAAATTAAAAATAATCCTTGACCGAAACAAACCTAAATAATAAGTAAATAATAAATTAATTAATTAAATAAAATTAAAAATAATCCTGGACTGAAACAAAACTAAATAATAAGTAAATTATACATAAATAAATAATCCTGGACTGAAACAAAACTAAATAATAAGAACAAATAAAAGAGATTATAACTAAATTGACTTTTTTGAATATTTTAATGTGTAACTTTTCTGATGGAGGGTTGGCCACCTGTTTGAATATGTCATTACTTTGCCTGGAATGTTCCGTCGTATGGCATTAAACGTCTCTATATCCATGGAAACAAAGCAGATATGAATGCTCACAGTAATAATGCATGTTTTTAAAGAATTTCTGAGCAATAAAAACAATACAGATTAGTTTAATGCAATTTATAACATGTGGCTGGCCCTCTATCAAAAATGTTCCGCAATGTACCGTTAAATAAATAAGTGGTATTTACATTTTTGGTCAAAACTGAAAAAAAAAAATCAGCTGGAAGTTTAGTTCCTTGCCATATGGATAGTTGTGGTAGTGATCTAGTGTGCTAATGTTATACCCATCCTTCAATTCTACCCAGACAACACAGGTAGAACACGCAAACACCCACGGTCCCATCAAACACGGAACGCCGACCACTCCGCCACCATGTACTTTGCCCTAACTGACTAATGACGGCTTCCCCCATGGGCTGCAGAGGCGAGCGGAGACAGGATAGATAGCCGGCGGTCTGAAAAATGTCCGTCTTAAGGCGTGTGTGCGTGTTACGGTTGCGAGTGTGAGCGCGCACAGCTGGATGAAATATGAGGCCGATCAGCTCCTGTCAGATTGGGGGCGCTGTGGGGGTGCGGGGGTGAGCCGGGTCAGGGTAGGGGTCAGCGGTGCATCGGGGGAGATTCACGCCGAAATGAGGGTCTGGTTGCGGCATTGTTACAGTCCACACACAGGTGCACGGACATCGGGGTATTTGTAAACGGAGAAGAGAGATTTGGAAAGAATGATAACAATATTCTTAATGTAACACAACGCCAGATGTTATGAAGCGGACTGTAGCAAGATTTCAGTGTTGATGTAACGAAGATGGTGTCGTCATGGTAACAACTGAAAGTAACATGTAACAAGCTTCAAAGAAAGAAAAACAAAAACAAAATTAATAAAACACTCTGTAAAAAGACGTAGCAAATTTTTAATAACATAAAGTTCAAAATGTTATGCAGGAGATATTGTATTGATTTTAGGTGGTAGATTCTTTATTTTAACAAATTATGAGAAATATTTTCAATTAGAAGGTTTTGCATAAATTATCAATAACAAAGTGTTTTTTCTGAGAGAGAAATGCTGAATAAATGCATTGTTTGAATAATCGTGATTTCAATATTGACCAAAAAATCATGATAATGATTTTTTCCATAATTCCAGCAGCCCTAGATGTTTGTATCTTTAAGCATGGTAACTTCCTACACTACGATGCAATACAAAACTGCAATATGTATCAGTTAAATAACAAAAAAATGGCCAGTTACTACCAAAATGAGTAATAACAGTTACAACATCTGAAAAAACGTTCAATAAATCAAGTTACACTACAGTAAAACTTGTCATAACTGGACATTTCTTCCATAATGCAAATAACACTGCATCCGTTCTATTTGCTTTTCAACATCAAATTCCCAGGACTTTCCCTAACAATCCTGAAATCCTCCATGCCCCAGCAGCACATGTGAGAACCGGCCCGGCCCGTCCACACGCAGGTGCTCCGGCGCTCTGTTCTCCTCTAACCTCATGTTTGGCAGGTTCATTACGGCTCTATGATATGTGTGTGTTTGGCATTACCACTGAAAACAAGCATTATGATCTGACTAAAGCTCCCGCCGGGACTTTGGAGGGCTTACAACGGAACGGGCCGCCCTGAAATCCAATATGTAAATCCACTTAGGGCCAGCTCGCTACACGCTCTTATTGCGCTCAGCTGTGTTTGTGCTAGCTTTGCTTCGCTGAGATAGAGAGCCAGAAGAACAGGAAGGCAGTAAAGTGAGGCGCAGGGGTCGCTGTGGACAAATTATAATTTTATGGATTAGACAAACTGCGTACTTGACAGAAGAGGCCACAGAAGTATGGGTGGACCGGCTAGACTCGGATTTGACTGGAGCTAATAGACTTCTTACACATTTAAAGCTCCATATGTGATTTTCTCCAGGGTTTTGGAGCGGGACAGATGTAATGTATAAAGAGCTCTTCAGGTCAAAATATGTCCACTGTCTTCATCGAAATATAATACGCTTTATTGTCACGGAGTCTGAAGAGTGCCTTAGCATGCTAGTTGTTGTTAGTGTTACCAATACTTTACCGTGACAGCAGATTGGCAGATTGATGTGCTACTGTTACGCCCTTGAGCAAATCACGTCAAAGTGTCGATCATTAAACAGGGCTGGGTGAAAGCAGGTTGGAAGTTTTTCCTCAGAGCTGTCCAAGAGTACTGTTACTACTACTACTACTACTACTGCTACTACTACTACTACTACTACTACTACTACTACTACTACTACTACTACTACTGCAACTACTATTACTACAATTACTTCTACTACTACTAACAGGTTTGAAGTTTGCTTGAGCCGTCCAAGACTACTGCCACTACTACTACTACTGTTACTACTACTACTACTACCACTACCACTACTACTACTACTACTACTACTACTACTACTACTGCTACTACTACTATTACTACTACTACAACTACCACTACTACTGCTACAACTACTTCTACTACTGCTAGTACTGCTACTCTTGCTACTACTGCTGCTACTACTACTACTACTACTACTACTACCACTACCACTACTACTACTACAACTGCTACAACTGCTTCTCCTACTACTGTTACTGCTACTACTACTACCACTACAATACTACTACAACTACTATTGCTACAACTACTTCTGCTACTACTGCTAGTACTACTACTACTTCTACTACTATTACTACTGCTACTAGTACTACAACTACTACCACTACTATTACTTCTGCCACTGTTAATACTGTTACTGTTGCGCCCTTGAGCAAAACACGTCAAAAGTGTCTCTCATTAAACAGAGCTGGTTAAAAGTAGGCTTGAATTTTGCTCATAGCTGTCCAAGACTATTACTACTACTACTACAACTAGTACAACTACTACTACTACTATTATTATGACTATCTACTACTAGGCTACTGCTGCCACTACTACTCCTGCTAAGACTACTATTCAGTTTACAGTACAGTACGCCAAGACGCCCAGGGCCCTAATCAGAACAAATTTGCATGTACAGTCAACAGTAAGAAAAGTATGACGTCAGATGTTTTACGTCCACAGTTTCTCACCAGTGGAACACTCCGCACATGATCACGCCGACTGATCTGAGTACATGTCTATGTGAAACCTAGTACTGCATTTGTCCTCCGTCTCCTCTGCCAACATGCCATCGTTAGCTCGCTACACCGTTTTACAATGTGACCACTTGCAAATTCCAAACTATTCTAATCTGCACTCATAACTTTAAACCCACTTGTAGACGGAGATTATTTTAAGATTATTTTTCCTCCCACTAAATTCTTCTGGACATGCTCGGGGTTCGGGGGCCCATACTTGACCTAATCCCCCTGTGCCAAGTGGACTTCGCTCTGATCCATACTTGACGTGTCTACGGTGAGGGCGGCTTTGATGTTCCTCGGACGGAGTTAGTGCCCTTCGGAGGGATCGAGGACGGGAGCCGGACAGCTGTGGGCTCAGCAGAGGAAGCACTCACGGTAGCTTTTAAATAACCCGTAGATATTCTGAGCGGAAGACTTCCTGGTTGTCATTAAAAGCGATGATAGACGGCCCACCTGCATTTCCTTTCAGCCCTGCCATTGTGTCGTAAACTAAACGGACAGCGATGGATTTTCCTTGCACGACTTAGCACTAACTTAAAATTATTGCTAACTGCGATTATTTGGTTTGGGGAAACTGTCCAGCGTCTACACTGGCCGCGTTTACATGAGAAAAGTGACTCAGTGCAACTTTAAATATGCTACTTACAGCTCTGTTTGACTATTAGCATAAAAATCCTTCACGAAACTACCACTACTATTGCTACTACAACTACTTCTACTACTACTGCTGCTACTACTACTACAATTACTACTGCTACAACTAATTCTAAGACTACTGCTACTAGTACTACAATTACTAATGCTACAACTACTACTACTACTACTACTACTACTACTACTACTATATTTACTACTGCTACTACTACTACTACTGTTACTACTACTACAATTACTATTGCTACAACTACTACTACTGCTACTACAGTTACTACTACTACAACTACTACTACTGCTACTACTACTACAATTACTACTGCTACAACTATTACTACGGCTACTGCTACTATTACTACAATTACTACCGCTACAACTACTTATATTATTACTGCTAATACTACTACTACTACTATTACTACTACCACTATTGCTACAACCACTATTAATACTATTACTATTGTGCCCTTGAGCAAAACAAGTAGTGTGACATAGCTGTCCAAGAATATTATTACTACTACTACTACTACTACTACTACAATTTCTACTATTAAATGAATATATGCAAGTAATATAAGTTTGAGGTGATGCACCCTCCAACCAAAAAGTGACTCAGTGCACCTTTAAATATGCTCCTTACAGGTTTATTTGACTATTATCATAAAAAACCCTCATAAAACTTCAACTTTGTTTACTTGCACAACGAGTTAGTTCATATTTTCCAATGGCACATTTGAGAAATTAAGAAATAACACAATTGCTAGCTTTGTGTTATGCCAACTTCATGTGCCCCTTTTGTATAAGACTTCTGTGACAACGCTGGCAAAGGTCGAGAGTTGTACTTGCTCGCAACTTGTGGAAAACTCTGTAAAAACAATAATGGAAACTGAAAGTGTTGGCCTTTCCACGAGAATGAACATAAAACATGCATAACCAAACTGCAGCCGCCACTTAGACCTGCACGAATACGCCGCATATGGACGGGTCTATACTTCTGTAAATAACGCGAGCGAGCTGTGAGGTCGTCATTGTGTGCCAGCGTTAATCAGAGCGCCAGAGACAGTCAAATGTTGCCACGGTGCTAAAAACGATGCCACGGTCGGAAATGTCATGAGTGAGAAGAGGAGACGCGTCAGTCCGGATAATAACCCCAGCCACCGCCATTACCGCGCACGGGGAAGTCATCACCGTACGCACAAATGTCACCATCAACCGTGAAAATGCCATTTCAGGTTTGCTCCTCTTTTGCATCTATTCGGACTGAAATTGAAAAATGGAATGGAGTTTTTTTTTTTTTTTTTTTTTTTTTTTTTTTTTACCTTCAAGCTCGCAGCCCAGAAGCTCCAGGCGCAGCCCCATCCCAGCAGGAGTGGCCCTCTCCGGGTAGATTCTGATGAAACGCGTCAGCAGGGGCTCCACCGTGCGCAGCTCCGGAGTGTCGTAGTTACTGTTCCCTTCAAATATCTGAAAAGGAGAGAAGAAGGAGGTTAAATATGTGGAGACTAACCTTCAAAAACAAATTACACTGTCAAACTTCAAACCAGCATGTTTTTTTTTTTTCAGAAGGGATACAATTTATTTGGATTTTGAAATGTTAGAACGAAACTAGATTCTTATTTGAGCAGGTTTCAATGCTAAAAAAGCAGCACTCACAGGACAAAAATGAACCTTTCCTGAATGTCTTTAGAATGATCTTGAGCTGTATCAGAACAAGTATGAGAGCACATAGACTAGTACTGTAGTTTTCGGACTATAAGTCACACTTTTTTTCATGATTTGGGTGTTTGCTGTGACCCATACTCCGGTGCGAATTATATATATTAAAATTTTCACAATGACAGCCATGAGGGGGCGCTCTAGTCTTGTGTGTCAGTATCTGATACTCCTGTACCTCCTGTATCACTGTCACTTCACTCTACTGCACATGTCTCCTGCAGAAAGAGCCTCTGTCCTGTCTGTATCATGTCAGTCAATCACTCCATTACTTCTGTACCACCGAAAATGTAGAATTTAAACAAACTTATAAAGACAAAGACTGAACAGAAATGCCCCCAAAAAGAAAATCATATTTTGCAAGTTGCAAGTATATGTAGAAATAAATGCGAAATCTGCAGCCGAAACCGGTAATCGAGCAGCAGAAAGAAAGTTTGGAGTGAGAGAGAAACTTGTACCACCACGAGGATGCACCATGCAACTTCCCTGAAGTCACTGGATGGAAGGACAAAGCCTGGACTGACACCGAAACCATCCTGTCGGGATTCAGAAAGGCCGGAATAATTCTAACTGGAACTGATGCTGAGTCTGATGAGAGCTACACAGAAGAGGAAGCGGCGCTCTGTTTACCTCCAGAAGTCGTGGAGTTGCTCAGAAGTGACACCGAGGATGAAGAATTGAATGGATTCAGTGATTTGGAGTGAGATGGAGAGTTTGGTAAACTTGTTCTGTTGTTTATGTTATAGTTTATCTGAAGAACTGTTCATATGTGACATTAACAGTCTGTTGTTCTCTCTTCTATTATTACTGTCAGGTTGTAAGTATCGACTGGTCTCTGATTTTATAAAATACATTTCCCCCAAAAAGTGCAACTTATAGTCCAGTGCGACTTATGTTTTTTTCTTCTTCATTACTCATATTTTGGCTGGTGCGACTTATACTCCAGAGCGACTTATAGTCCGAAAAATATGGCATACGCCCGTGGACCACTCTGGAACTTCCCTGGACCACTGAGGGATTACACAGATACAAGACCTCATGGTGAAATAAAAGAAAGTACTACAGTTTAATGTTGAAAATCACATTCTATTGTCAAAATAGAGTAAATCGTGTTTCTATCGTGGTATCGGAATCAGTACTGAGTATCAAGTCTGTTCCTTAATACTGAAATTGAGTTTGAAATTTTAGTATTGTGACAAATCTACTTAGTGATACAGCATCTTGGTCATAGTTGAAGGTTGGTAGTTCGATCCCCACTACCTGCATTGCATTCAGATGTTATACTCTGGGGCAAGACACTTACACAACCTTGTCAGACCAGCCCCCTCTCTGATATTTTGCCCTAAGAGCTATGGAAGAAGACTGTAAGTGTAACCTTTAGACAAAATATATATTTAAAAAGAAAAGTTGTTACGATTTTCCGCAATATAATGTTGTAGGAGTGCACAGTGTACTACAATCAGATCTAACTTGCTAATTTGAGTTGGCTCAATTTATCAAATCGCCAAGGCCGTAATTATTTAGATAACAGAATGTCCTCTGCAAAGAACACAGTATTCTGTCTTTTTATACATAAATCCTCGTTTATCTGTAGAAGTGAAAAATTACAGTGCCATTTTCAACATTGACTCATAGTACTTTCTATTGTGTTTTTATATGTGTGTAATCCCTCAGTGGTCCAGGTAGGTTCCATAGTGGTCCATGGGTGTATACTAGTCTGTGTGCTCTTATACTTGTTCTGATTCAGCTCAAGATCTTTCTAAAGGGCGCTGTCTTGACTTTTTTAGTACTGATACTTGTTCAAATGAGTATCTAGTTACAATGGTCATTTTAGTACTGATTATTATCTGATTTTTGATATATTTGGCAACCCTAATCTGTAGTTTAAACCTCTCCAAACACATTAAAACTCAAATGTTAAAGCTGCATTGTGCGACCTTTCTGGTGGAGGGTCCATCACCTGCTTGTCTCCATGGAGATGTTTTTGCTTTGAATGCTATATTCCATGGTATGACATTAAACACATCTATTTAGCATTTATTCAGTACGTAGGTTCCTGCTGCTCAAAAAAACAATAATTCTCTCTGTGAATGAGGTCGCCTCTCCACAGATCTCACCTGTAATGTAGATTGTTGTCTCCCCTGAGGTTTAAACTCTACCGTGGAACATTCAAGGCAAAGCAAAAACATCTTCATGAAGACAAAGAGGTCACAGACTCTACCAGAAAAGTTGTGCCTGAAGTTGTTTAAAGGTGCATTATTCAACTTTTCCGATAGAGGGTCTGTCAAATGTTTTTCTTCATGGAAATATTGTTTCTTAGTCTGGAATGTTTCACAGTATGATGTTAAACCTTTTTATCTTCATGGAGACCAAACCAGAACAAGTTACAGGTCAAATCTGTGGAGAGGCGACCCCGCTCACAGTCAGAATACCTGTTTTTTCTTGGTATTTTTGAGCTCTAAAACCACCTGCAATTGAATAAATGTAAGGTAGAGCTGTTTAATGTCATACTGTGGAACATTCCAGGCAGAGCTATGACATATCCATAGAAACAAGAAGAAAAAGTGACGCACCCACCACCAGAAAAGTTCACGATGCACTTTTAAAATGTGCACTTTGAACAAAATAAACATGTTAAACTTTTTTTTTTCCTACAATCGAGCAGCCCGTCTTTGCTGTAAACATCTTCGACCAAAAACACACTTTACTGTAAACTGGACTGATTTGCACTGCATAAAATATGAATACGTCTGAGCCATTCCTTGAACTTCACTTTTGCTTGATACCACTCAGACCCTCAGGTAGCCACAGGCACTTATTCCCACTTTGCGCAAAACCACAGAAGAGAAGGCTGCTGGTTAAAAGGCTACACTGATGGGAACCAGCTCCGAATCTCTCTCATCTTACGGACATCTTCTCCGGGCCTTTTCGCCGGCGACTGGGACCGGGCCTCTGTCAAAAGCTCCTCTGATCCACAGCGAGCCTCCGGTAAATGAGAGCGGAGAAGTGGATAAAACCTTTGATAGGGCGGGATTCGGACATGTTAGGAACCTCTCCAAAGCCGAGGGGGCGCTGGGGGTGGGTGGGAGGCGGGAGGCTAACTAGGACACAAGGAATATAGATCTGCGCGTGTCGTGTCGTAAATCAAAGATCAGAGTGACGGGATCAGATCTATGCCCTGTCAGAGGAGCTTGTAATGGGGGACGAGCGCTTGTTGCTTTTCTTGGAGGTGTGAAGGTCCAAGGGCCATATCTGGACACGTCATTTTTTATAGAAGCTGCCAATTGATTCAGGTCAGTAGTCTCAGCCAGTACAAGCAAGGATTTAACTGCAGTAAATAAAGTAAAGATAACGACATACGCCGGTAAAAAACAAAGCGTGCAACAGAATTTAACTGTAAATAACTGTATTACAATATATAAACATAAAAAAATCATGCGTGGTTTCAAATATTTTCACATTTTTTGTTTAGCTACACATGGGGTGTAACAATATCCAAATCTCTCGGTACGATATTTTCTCGATATGCATCTCACAGTACGATATTTATTGCGATATTTTGGGGAGCTAACAAAACAAAAGCGACTTTTTCCTCTTAAAATGCCTTGACAAGACTTAATCCAAAGAACTAAGACTTAAAAGTGCTTACAACTGTTATTTCTTCTTGTAATCTACACTGAAATGGAGCAAAGGATCATGGTCTATGTAGTTCCCTTTGTTTTTTTTAGCAGTTGTTGCACCATAACTATTAATTTAAACAAAGAGACTTGTAATTTGATATATTGTGATGGTCCATGATATTATTGTGAGAACTTTGACGATACGATGTCACGATATTTCGATTATTGTTACACCCCTACTACACATAAAGCACGAAGAATTCATAATGAACAAGTAGTTAATTAATAGTCAGGGATGGTACAAGATCTCATGAGATGAAATTGCCACAAGATCGTGCACGCGTGAGGAAAATGATATTGTGAGATTTTTTTGTTTTGGATTGAACAAAAAAGGAATAAGTATAGGTGAGTTACATCTCTTATAATTCCAAAAAGTAGAATAGAAACAACAATATGAAATCAACAAACTCCAAAATTTTGAGGCCAAAACTCAAAACTCGAAAAATCGTGAAAGTACATATTAGGAATGATGTTAAAATCTCGTCGTGTCTCGTTTTCACGGACCCTATCTCGTATGTCGTCTCATCTTGTGGAAATTGTGTCTCGTCCCGTCCTTATAAGTAGTTTACTGAAAATGATTCAGTCTTAGTAACTGCTTAAAGGCCTTCTTCCTGTTTTTTTTTTTCATGTATTTGACCAAAATCTGTATTCCCCCACTACATAAATGTTGCATAAGCAGCTCAGTAACTTAATTGCGTACCTTCAAGATCCTAATTATGAAGCGTTTTATTTTCCGAGAATCAGGAAGTGCACATTAGCATGTTAGTTGCTGTCAGCTTTACCACTCTGGCTGCCTTGGGTTGCAAAAAACGCTCATGAACTCATCCCTGTGAATAGTTACGACGCACAGAAGAGAAAAGGTAAGGTGCGGAGAAACTAAATTGGACTACAAACCTGTTTCTGTTTTGTTTTTCATATTTTTAAGACAGTAAAAAGCAGGTACAGCATTTTTAATTCAAGGGGGAGGAGTTAGGGTGTTTGTGAAAGAGACACTAAGCCTGAATTAGTGACGATTTGTCCATTATTTTCTTTCTTCATGCTTTATCGAGGCTTAGGTGTAGTTCTTAGAAAGTGTTAGAAATACTTTTAATTCCAGATAGAATTTTGATTATAATTATTATTGTGAAACTGTATTGTGCACATTTTTAAGGTTACACTATTCGTTTCCTCATTTTGCAATCACATTATGTACAATAGATACAAAAAATACAAAAAATGCAATCACAATTTCACAGTAATCCAACATAAACTAGTTTTCTTTGAGCTTTCACTTCTACAGCTTTTTACCGTATTTCTGTTTTGGCTTTTCTTTTCCAATAAGATCCCAAGCGGCGAATAAACCTAGAGTATTTCAGCCCGGTTCTCCTCCTCCTGAGCAGCCTGGCTATCTGCGAGGAGCTAAGTGTTGCGCCGAATACCAAACAGCAGGAGTGAACGGGTGGAGGGACCTTTGGGAGACCAGAGATGCTTATCCTAATGCCATTCAAAGCACTGCTGAAATTGACTTACTCCGACTGCGCAATAACTCACCAAGGGCTGCTCAACGGTGTGGGGAAAATCTCAAATCTAAGGGCTGGCGCGGCGGACATTTTAAACGCAGTGGTGTTGGTTGAACTCGGGAGTGAAATGAAAATACACTATTTGGCGTTGTCGGCAGGATTTTGAAGATAGTGACTGTAGACGAGTAGAAACGAGATATGGAAGACAATTTTATCTTTACAACTATTAATAAGTTTAAAATATAATTGCTAATTTTGAAGTTTAAGGGGCAGTACTTGCTCTTAAAAACAAGGACAAACAGAACTAGTTCAATTTAAATGGTTTGCAGGAGTCCAAAGTTATTCCTCACCTATCTTTCTGTGCATTCTGAGCATCGTAATTCTTCAACGCAATGAGTTTTAAGTGTTTATCCAAGTCCTCACCTTTGGCTTGTTGGCGTTCGTGTCCATCACCATCTTGTAGTCGGTTCCGTTGGTGCTGTAGCCCAGTCTGAACCTCTTCATGAAGACCTTGTTCTCGCGGTGCTTTCCTCCCTGGATGATCATGCCCTTGAGCAGCTTCTCCTCGCCCAGATCCACCTGCAGCCACTCGTTGGTGAAGGGCTGGGGCTGGGGGAGCAAGGTCCACCCGGTGCGACTGGTGAGGAGGCGGGCGTTCTCGGGAACCCAGTTGCGGTCAGTGTGGGAGGAGGCGGTGATCTGGTTATCGGTGATCAGGCCCGAGATCATGCCCAGCATTCCCGAACATGGATACTCTGGAAGACATGGGAACAGAGATGGGATGTTAAAAAGATTGAATTTTTGACTGTCAAAACAGTTTAACATTTTTCTTCAAATGCTCTATTGGTATAATATTCAATTTAAGCACCTTCTGTACTTTCAAAGATCATCTAAAAATGTTATTTAAATAATTCTTGTAATCATAGGAGAAATAAACTCTAAGTAACCAGTTAGAAAAATAAGTGGAAAATAGTAAATAAGGGAATCTTTAAAAATTGTTAGAGTAAAAAACAATTTTAGAGTAAAGAAAGTAAAAAAAAAAAAAAAAAAAAAAGGAGAGGATGTTTTAATTCATTTTTCCTGGTATAGCAGCAGATTTTGTGATGCTAAATTATTTTTTATTATTATTTTTTTAATAATAATTTGATGTTACAATACATTGAATTTCATAAAATTTCAAATAGATTTTAGCAAGAGGCAACACTTTATAATAAGGCAAACCTGTAAATCATTTGTAAATGTTTATTAACCAATAAAAAATGCAAGTATGTCATTATTAGAGCATGAGTTGTTAATGATTAATAAACATTTGTAAATTATTTGTAGATACTCCTAATTAAAAATTTATTAATCATATTCATTTTATTAATCAGTAATAAGACTTTTTGCCTTGTCCATGTTTGTAAATAATTGTTAAACATTTGTTAATAAGTAGGTAATTTTTAGTAAATGATTAGTTAATGGTTAATAAACATTTATGATTTGAAGTTATGCCTTATTATAAACGTTACTTAGTATAATGGTAAAGGATCTAATGTGGAATGAAACTTCGACCTCCCGACTTTAATCCAACAACCCAAACAATACAACAATACAACAATACTCAACAATAAATAAGGCAAGATAATACATATTTCCCACATCAGCAAAAGCAGCCAGCCAACTCCTGCTATCGCGAGCATCCACAACACAAAGCAAATCTAACATGACGCTCAAAGACTTTATCCAACAAGTGCCGTTGAACTCTCTGCTGTTTCCGAGGTCAACCAGGACATCGAGAGCCCGAGTGGAGTAGACAGTTCCTCGGCTCCTCTGTGATGTTCCTGTGATCTGCTCCCTCCATCCACCCGGCCCGTGCATACTAATCTATTCAGCCTGCAGCTCTTGTCTCCAGGCTGCCAATTAAAACCTCGCTCCTGGTCTTCTCTTCCACCTCCTGCATTCTATCTATCTACCCCCCCTCCTTTTTATCGTTTTATCTCAACAAACATAGCGTTCTCTTTGTGCTCCACAGCTGTCAGCTCACCTCATTCGCTCTTCTCCTGACCAGAACTTTTGCCTTTTTGATAATTTATTTTTCAAACGCCGCTTCTTTAATCTTCACTTGGTGTTTTTTGTTTTTGTTCAGGCTCAAGCGCTGGTTTTCAAAGGGAGACAGTTGTTGTTTCGAAGCGTTTTCATTGCCGCTGACACCACTTTACATCAAGAGCGAAAAGATCTGGTCGGTTTGTGGCTTTTATCCCGTTCTGTGCATGCCGAGTAAACAATAAAAATGCACGGAAAAGGCTCAGCTGGAATTCAACCATTTTTTTTTTCCCAATTTCTCTGTTTGTTGTTTTGTAAATTAGAAGTCGATTTTGACGTAGTAGTGTTATGAAAGCATTTTAGTGTAATTGTGTTACAAATAAACATGTACTTTAGACTATTTCAATATTAGCCAAGGCAATTACAGACATTTGGTACCACTTAGTATTAACTACACTTTAATCAGCCTTAATAAAGCATGAAGAAAAACACAATTCCTAATGAACAAATAATAGCTACTAAACCACTGTACCTGGTTTTTCCCATGTCTTTGAGCCCCAGTACAGATATATCGCATGAGCAGCACTTGAGGTCAAACTACCGTAAGTCTCTGTGTACTGACTGAGAACCAGGAAGTGCCTTGTTCGCATGATAGTTGTGAGCGTTACCTTGACGGTAAAACTCCGATCTGACCTCTGAAAGTCGTGAATATTGTATAAGCAGCACTTGAGGGAAAAATAAATCCTCTGTGTACTGTCTGCGTGTAATTATAAAGAGTTCTGTCGTCTGAGAATCAGGAAGTGCATTGTTAGCATGCTAGTTGTTAGCGTTACCGTGATGGCGACACTCCAATCTGGCCTCAGAAAGTTGTGAATGTTGTAAATGGTTAAGGTATTAAGTCGTTCTTAAACTCGGATTATTCTTAAAGTATTTTAGCGTTATGAATTATGTAATTCATTTAGATTAATTAAAGGTTTATATTACACTAAATAGACTCTTGTGAGATTTGAGTATTTTCTATTTAAGAGAAAAACTTTATGTGAATGAAACAAAACAGAACTCAAGAACAGAAGATGAGGAAACATTATAACATAAATCAAAAAATACTAGGGATTTCGCAAGATTTCGCACCACAAGATCTCACGAGAAAATTGTCACGAGATAATTTGAAAAATGATCTTGGGAGATGTTTTCCCCATCTTTTTAAGTTTGGAATGGATAAAAAAATGTGTTCATTACTGCTGAGTTTCATTTTTTGAGAAGCTGTAGTCCCAAAAGCACTGCTACAACAAGAGCAAAAATATAATAAGTAAATGTATAAGTAAAATTATAAATAGTTTTTTTTTTTGGACTACACACTTAAAATTAAATAAATTTTCTCAGAAATCGACAGTGAGCCTTATAATCCGGTGCACCTTATGTATTAATTCTAGTTGTGCTTACTGACCTTGAACCGGTTTCATGTGGCACACGGCACTTAAAAATCTGTCATAATGTTTTAGTACAACTTTGGTAAACTACGAAGCTGCAGCACTTCAAGGATTGTCGAAGCATTATGGCTACTGTAGTCAGAAGCCTCACGGAAGCAACGCCAGGCAAATTACACCACGATCTGCCAATGGATCGTGGATGCCGTCTCAAGTGCCGTCCGTTTGTTTTGTTTGGTGTGCCTTATAATCTGGATGACCTGATGTATGAAAATAGATGAGAGAATTCAACATTATTGATATTGTGCCTTATAAATTGGTGCACCTTATAGTCTGAAAGATACAGTAAATTAAATAAGAAATGGTGAGGCAAACATTGGGAACTGGATTGCATAATTTGTTTCTCATAAAGAATGTCAAAATCTCGTTCTCATACTTCTAATCTCGTTTTTCGTCTCGTATTGTTGAAATTGTATCTTGTCTCATCCCTACAAAATACTGTAATATAGACCCTTTAAAGTGTATGTTATTGTGAAATTTTGCATGTTTTTTTCTTTTTACTTTTACCTGTCCAACTAACCCTAACCCTAATAAAAATATCTATTTGAATTGAAGTTTGAAGTATCTAATTTAAATTGACATTTGGTCATAATTGGCTGCTTGTAAAGACTGCAAGTATTCATACAAGGCTTTCTTTCACAACAAAATCTTTCAATGGGGTTTTATTCAGTCCAAAATCTTTTAACCCCGTAGTTTATACCTCTAAAAACATGTTCCGAAATACATTTGATTCCCGTATTAGCTCAGCAGTTCATATTTCAGTCTTCTCTCAAACATTAATACTTCTAGACGTGTTTAAAAGGGCCATTTGAAGTTTCCTCACTTTACTTGAACCAACGACCATCTGGTTAGAGGGCGAATAATCCCCCACTGCATCACTGTCGCTTTTATGCTACACTTACACATAACTCACTTCCAACTGCAGAGGATTAGCCCGGTCCTGGCTCCTGTCATCACCGCAGCTTGGCAGGGGAAGAAAGAACCTATGAAAGACCACGTAACATTTGTCCCATTTTTCTTTTTGACTTATTTTTAATGCCCAAAAATCACCCCAAAACTCTCAGATCTGCTAATGTAGCTCGTTACGTAACCCAGACTGTTAGCATAGCCTCTTCTATAATAGCAGAAATGTAATAAAGCCAATATAGGCTGGCAGACAGAACATACAGTGTGTTATTGCTTCGCGCTGGTCCCTCGTGCCGTGTTGAAGGATTAAGAGCTAAAGGAAGGAATCTGGCATTTTCCGAGGAGAGATTTGGATGCGCCGGCTGGTTGAGAATATATTAAAAATGGATGCATAATGTGCAGCGTGCGATGATGTTCAGATGCCCTGTTTGCTGCTCTATATTATGCATCCCACTATATTAATATTACAAGCACCGCCGAGGTTGTTTTGAAAGGAATTAAAGGATTGGGAAACTTGTTTTTCGGTTCTAAAATTCGACAAGAAAAGTCCATCTATCGCAATTACTCTTGTGATTAAGGTTGTTACCGAGACTAGTATCGGCAAAAGCTGCGACACTGAAAATTTTTTCAGGTATCGTATCGGAGAGTACTCAGACCAAATCACTGATCCGATACTATGTATTGAGAGTTCTGAGAGTGAAGCCCGACAACAGCGATAACTCGGACTTTGTTTACTCTGTAAATTCGCCATGTGGTCCGAGATGAGCGTCTTTTGACAGGCCTCGCTGTTGTTTTTATCCGTGCACTGTGGTAGAAAGTAACAAATTAGAAAAGTTTAAGTAAATCAGTACTAAAAGTTGAAGTAAATTGGTACTATTTATGGTTAAAATCATATATTTGACTCTTGACTCTTAGTTCTCCAATGTATTCTTCTAGAGTTTCTTTTGAGATTATCTTTTAGTAGATCTATTTATTAGTCTTGTACTGTAACAAAACTGAGTAGCCTTAGTCTACTTCTTCACACTATGTGGTATCGTAAAGGCATGGGTATCGGCGAGAACAGGCCAAGAACTTAAACTTTTCTAATTCGTTACTTTCTAACACACTGCATGGATAAAAACAACAGTGAAGCCTGTAAAAAGTCGCTCAACCTCAGAGCTCATGATGAATTCTGCAGAGTAATCTAAGCCTGAGTTAAATTAAGTCCATTTACTAATTGAATTTCTCCTTTTGCTATGGATTCTACCTGGACAACTGAGGGATTTTACACTCATAAAGCAGAGTAACGTTACTTCAAAACAGTATTACTCAAGTACAAGTACAAAGTTGTCATCCAA